TTTTTTCTCCTGGTAGACATGACAGAAATCACGGGACGGTTACGTTGCCTTTGTAACTGATATTGATGCCATATAATAAATAAATTAGTTTCTTTAGGTATAGTTGTAAATACTTTTATATAAGGGTAAGATTGAAAATATTTATTTATCTTATCGCATGGATAAAAATCTCCCAAAAATATATGATAGTCCAACTATTACACTATTATCTTTTATGGGCCCAAAGGCCCTTTGCACATTGACTCTAAAAATTATATTAGTTAAAATATTTTGAGTGAAGCCCAAACCAATTTTCAGCCTGCCCAGCCCGACTTTAAGGTTTGGAACTGTAATTCATTTTTTTTGGGTTAATTGTCAAAAAAATCACGACTTTTCGTTGAATTGCAAATTAATCAACTTTTTCAATTTTGCGAATAAATCTCAACTTTTATTAATTATTGCAATTTTGTCTCAAAAACCGGCCGCCGCCCATCTCCGGCTAACCTCGCTGGACTTGAAAATTTTTTACGTCATCGTGTAGCTCTCATTCCGGGCAACAACATATCCGAAGTTCGTGTAAAAATTACGACAACAAGGGGTCCAATTTCTCGGTAAAAACAAGTAGATCTACAAATTTTATTCACCGTTCTTTCGCAAATTTTCGACGACTCGCTTTGACCCACACGAATCCAAAGGTACCGTTGTACTTCTCTCGCCGAGCCGCTTCTATTGACATTCACCATCGCCAGAAACAATGACTTTTTTCAGCGACGAGTTTTCTGGTCATCTATTGACTGAGAAATTGAACCCCTTATTGTCGTAATTTTGCAAGTCAATTGATTTTTTAGTACTTTTTTATAAAGATATTTTTTTTATATATTTAAATATATTTTTATTATGATTAACCTTTCGTCCAAAACATCTTTATTCATCCAAACTCAAGCCATAAGAGCTGTTTTTGGTACTAAAAAATATCTTTATTAATTAAAATAATCACGACCTTTCATTTAATTGTAAAATAATCTCAACTTTTTCAATTTTGCAAATAAATTTTAACCTTTATTTTTCAATTCTGGCGAGGTTGAAAAAGTTGAGTACTTTTTTATAAAGATATTTTTTTATATATTTAAATATATTTTTATTATGATTAATATTTCGTCCAGAACATCTTTATTCATCCAAACTCGAGCCATAAGAGCTGTTTTGGTACCTCAAAAAAGCCATTTTCATATATATTACGTATATTTCTAGTATAAATAATTAAACATTAGAACTTATCTAGTTGTTATTCGAAAACAAAAGCTCGATCTGACGTGTGAAAAATCATGATGTGCACTTAACCGAGTCGAGCTCGAGCAACTAAATGAGCTTGTTTATTAAACGAGTCTGAGCATTGTTTACGGTAAGGGTGAACAAAACCGAGCCGAAACCAAAAAATCGAGTTGAACCGTGCAATTCGGTGAGGTTCGATTCGGTTTGGTTTTTTAATGTAAAAAAATTACAGTTCTGTTCGGTTCGGTTCGTTTTTTTTTTCCAACGTTGCGGTTATAGTTTTTCTATATTTGGTTTTCATTTTGTTCGGTTTGGTGTGGTTTTGCATCGAACCGCAATTAACCGCACCAAATTGAGTAAAATGTAAAGAAAAACCAAAAATTGATTCGAACCGTACATTGCGGTGCGGTTCGGTTCGGTTATTTTAGTATAAAAAAGAACTCGGTTCGGTTTTTCTTAGATTGCGGTGCGATTCATTTTTTTTTTTTTTTCGCTAGGTCCGGTTTTTACGGTTCGATGCGGTTTTTCACCAAATCGCACCGTTGCTCAACCCTGACAACTTTATTTGGTTTATTTATTTATTATTAAATTAATGGGTTTTCATTGATCTGAGTTCTCACATAGTGAAGTTGCAGAAAACCCTCGCACACAAACACGCGCACACCATTTGAGGAGAAACACAAAAATGCACTGAATCTGCTTAAAGTTGCAAGCTTTTTGCATCTGAAAGAGTGAATCAAAAGAGATGTTTCCCTTTTTTTTTTTCATCACGAAGATTCTCAAGCGCAAGGACTGTGAAAAGGGTTCGCAATTTCTTCTCTAATCGTTTTCCGTTTCCAGATTTGAAGTTGCTTTGATTGGGGAGTCTGATATTCATAGTATATTACATTACATGGGATTTGATTGCTTGATATTGTCTGAAAAGGTTACCTAATTATAACCTATATTGTTCAATCTATTATTCCATATGTAGTAAGGGGATTATTGATTAATCAGAAAGATTGGATTTTGAATTCTTTTGGAGACGAATTCGATAATCCGGATTTGACAGGATTTCGAAATGCAGGAAATTCAGAACCAAAAAATGTATATAATATCTGCTTTGTTTGTGCTTGAAATGTGGATACATTTCGACTAATCTATTCGGAAAAGCAAATTAGTCGAGCCAGAAGATCTACTATATAAGAGGTTGTTGTTAAAAGCTACAACCTTTCGGAACGATATGTTCTCAACTAATTGATTGATTTATGGTCTTTTTGAGGAGCTTTTGCATTGTTTCTATTATACTCGGTTAGAACTTTGAGCAGCCTAATCAACAGTTGATCTAAATCTCAATAGCTATTTAGTTTATTAATATACAGAGTTTGATGAATATGAGTCATGCATGATTCTTCTGCTTCGACCATTGGCGTATATGACCTAACCTTAGGACACGAAATCATAGGATCAGCTATTATGATTGTCGAGTACGACTTTGTATGAATGTAATATCTTATATGTTCACATACCCTCAACTTTCCCCTGTACGCGAACCGAACCAGTTGTTGATTACATAACTGATTTGTTGTGAATGATTGTTGATTACATAACTGATTTGTTGTGAATGATTTGCAGGTGGCCATTTACATTATTTATTTTACGTAAAGTTGAAGAGGATTAGATCTTTAATTGGTAAGAGCTACATGTCTGCATTTTGATGAAATTTGTCAATGGAAAATCTGAAAGTCGATATAATGCAATCTATGAGTTCTTTAATCCAACATGGTTACTCTTTCATAACTTAAAGAAGAATTAATGCCACTTGCATTTTATTCTTTGTCTGTCATATGTAAGATTTTGTTACTGTTAAGAAAAGTTCCCAAAGTTGCTTATTTTATTAGAGAATTTAAAAAAATATTATTAACGTCTGTAAAAGGAGTTTGAAGCTCAACGTGCTTCTCAAATTAAAGGTACTGTGTTTGTGTATTGTTCGAGTTCTGTGCGTAATACAATTTGGCTTTCGTTTACTATTTGGTTTTTTTTAATTGTGTATGGAATATCGTGTGCGATTTGACTTATGTTTCCATGTTTTGTAGCTTATACTGAAGATGGGAACAAAAAGGCCTAGAAACATTAATTTTAAGAAAACTGAAACAATCTATGTAAGGTTTTCTAAGTTTCAATGAAACATTTATTATTATTATATAAATAATTAAGTATTATTTTTAATTTATTTATAATTAAATATTATGTCGTAGGTTGGAGTTATAGTTAAAGATGGAGCCTTAAGGTTGGAGATTAAGTTAATTAGTTTGAAAGAAAAAGTGAATTATATGGTTTGCGCATGGCTAATATAGATTTGAAGTTAGATGGATTTGTTGATTTGGTTAATTTTCTTAAAAGCTCAATTATTGATGTGAAGTTGTTGAGAAGTTAATATAAATATAACACACCAAAGGTAGTTTTATTTCGATCACGAAGCATTTGTTGATGCAACCTATTTTCGTGAAAAAATAGATGCCACTGCTAAAAAAATTCATTATAATTTTGAATTTAATGTATCGAATGGGTGTGAATAGAATAAAATCACATGAGGTTCATGTAGTGTTAAGTGACTCATCTATAGAAACTCCATTAGACTTAAAGATAAAAGGCGAAAGAGTGATATAGACAAAATCAAATGATTCCAATGCTTATGAAGAAGTTTCTTTCAAATTTATGAGTTCGAAGAATGACACAAAGAGTCCCTTGAAAATTCAAACAAAGGTAATTATTTCATATGCATAAATTGGCTTACAAACTACCTTTAGAAATTTGGTTAAAAGTTTCTCGTTAATCATATCCCTAGAATGTTTTATTATTTATTTTTGTATTATGATGTTGAAGAAGATTTTAGTATTGAAGAGAAGAATGTTCTGAAATACATATTTGATATAAACCACAACCACAAGTTAGAGTTTATTTGTAGGCACTATACTTTTATCATAAAATGCATATAAAATTTATTGCTAATTTATTTTCTTTTTTGATGTTGCAAGTGAAATGATCGTGATGTCACAGAACTTGGAGACAGAATACAGTAAAAACAACTTTATACTTCAAAGTGTTCAAGCGAAAAAGTAAGTTTATTTATGTTAAAACCTTATAATGATCGGCTGTAATTGTGTTTGATTTGATTTGTAGATTTGAAATCGTACGCTAACATGGGAAAATCGAAACGATGCCTCTAAAATACTGACTAAAAATTGGTTTATGCCAACCTATGTCTATTGATATTTCACTTGCATTATTATTTAGATATATGATTGAGTTAGTAACACATATCATTATTTC